TCTTGGGCACATCCCATTTCTTTTCATTTTTTTACTTATTACATTCAAGTTTCTTAGAGCAATTTTATTTAGTGCCTTTTGTTTGTTTGTTTTGACTATTTCTAGTTTTTCTGTGGTTTGCACTGATAAGGAGTAGCACTCCTAATTTAGTTGTATATTTTGTACATTCAGAAAGACTTTATAATTCTATAGACAAGCCGATACTATGAATAAAATACGCAGACATAAGATCATGCATCAGCCCATAAAGGAGCTGCTTCGTCCAATCATCGAATTGCACCTGGTCAAGCTGGTGTCCGATAACTGTACCATGGTGCCATTCGAGTGCATTACGAAGGACACAAAAAATATCCTACAGGACATGTGTGTGGTGATTATAAACACTGTATTTATACATGTTTATAAGAAATTAAAACAAAGTCGGGCACAGGAGGGTCACTTGCATTTGACTCAAAGACATTCCACATCAAGCAGAAGCGCTGCTAGTTCTGATGCAGTAGGCTGTAAATTCATCATATCCCAAAATCTGGGTAAGATCTTTCCACGGATTCTTCTGGACGTGATGGGTATTAAAGATGCCAATAGGGTATTGAACAACCCTTGCACAAATCATATAACATTGATTATGGTGAATGAAGTACAAGACATGATAAATACTCAGTTCAAAATCTGTGGAAGCAGCAGTGGCAGTACTGGGGAGAGCGAACTGCTGGGCCCAGAGTCTATCATGCAAGACCACATATTAGAGTTACTAGTAAGAGAGGTCTTTACTTTTCTTCAAATGTGTAAAAAAATGAAGACAGAACAGCACCAGGAGTCTGAGGAGAAGGTATGGTATGAAATCTATACTGATCTGAAAGAGGATGAATCAGAAAAAGTGTCTTCTGGGGAAAACATTGTGGTTACACCCACCAACGCCGTAACGAGCATTGAGGAGAAGATGGCGGATGACAAACACAATCTGAATCAGCCCAGCTCCTCCAAGGATGCAGTCAAGGCAGCGGAAGCTGATGAACCTGCTTGTCACAGCACAGCAACCACCAACGCCGTTAAGATCATCTCCCAGGCAACAGCACACCCAGTCCAAGAGTGGGACAAAGAAAAATTGAAGACAGAGCAGGACCAGGAGATGTCTGAGGAGGTGTGGTATGAAACCTTTACTGATCTGAAAGAGGATGATCAAGAAAAAGTGTCTTCTGGGGAAAACCTTGTGGTTACACCCACCAACACCGTAACGAGCATTGAGGGGAAGATGGCAGATGTGAATCGCAATCTGAATAAGTCCTGTCTTTTATCTTAGTTCTCAGTCCTGTGTCTCCATGTAGTCCTGCCTCCTGTTTGGTCCTGTCCTTCCATGTTTGTGTTTTACTTTGGTAGATCTGTCCTTTTTTGTTCTTGTGTTCTTTACTTCCTGTTTTATTTTGTAATCTTCTGTGCCTGTTGTTAGTTTAGCATATTCCCGTGATGATTATTAGTTTGTTACAACTGCCTTTGTTTCTGTACTTTTGTTTATGGATCTGTGTCTGCTTGTGTTTGTAGTCATTTCGGTTTATTCTTTATTCTGTTCTGTATTAGTTTTCTGCCTGGTTACCTTGCTGTTTCACTCTGTCTCGTTTCACTGTGTGTCTGCTGTGCCTAATTAGCTGCTCATGTCGTTCACCTATTTTGTTCACCTTTTCAATTCCAAGATGGCGCTGTCTATAGCTGTCTGCAACTGCTTGTCACAACACAGCAACCACCAACGGCTGGTGACACCAAAAAAGAGGAGCTGTGTTACCCGGTTCTTCAGTTGTGTTTTCAAGCCATTCTCAGCCTTCTTCAGATGTGGCCGGCCGCCAAGAGTAATCACTGGCAACAACTAGTAGTGTAAAAGCACTTTAATTGACGGATGACTCCAAAGTTTGATACAAGAACAGAACTTCACTATTAAGGATATGTCATCGCTGTGAATGTGATGTACCGTCGCCAGTTTGAGACAAGACAGTGCAGTACTTTCTCGGGAGGAGCCGGATGCAAATGCTGTGAATGTGGCGTAGTGTAAAGGCGCTTTGAGTGGTCGGAAGACTAGGAAGGCATTGTACAAGTACAGAACATTCACCATTTAGCAAATGTCATTGTGTGACAGAAGCCAGCAAGGCTTTGCAGTGAGTAAACCTCACTCTCCGACACCTTAAGAGACGCACGGTCGACCGACGCTAGTGCCCATGGGTTTAAGCCTCCTCATGAGTGTGTCCGCCTCCTGTACCCGAGTCAGGACAGTGCAGTACGTTCTCTGGAACACCCAGTTACAATTGCTGTGAATGTAACGTAGCTTAAAAGCGCTTTGAGTGGTTGGATGACTACAAAAGTGCAATTCAAGTACAGATCATTCACCATTTAGCAAATGTCATTGTGTGACGGAAGCCAGCAAAGCTTTGCAGTGAGTAAACCTCACTCCTCGACACCTTCAGAGACGCACGGTCGGGACAGACCTGACATCATCCCCCGTCACATCACTGACCGACCACAGTCCGCCATCTCATCCCCCACCTCCTCCCCCTCTCTTACCATCCTAGAGAGGGACGTCAACAGACTGTTCAGGAGGCAGAAACCTCTGTCTCCCCATCCACCCTGAAGCACTGTGCTGATCAGCTGTCTCCGGTGTTCACAGACATTTTTAACACCTCACTGGAGAAATGCCGTGTGCCAGCCTGCTTCTAAGCCTCCACCATCATCCCTGTCCCCCAAAAACCAAGGACCAAGGACCACGGGACTAAACGACTACAGACCCGTCGCCCTGACCTCTGTGGTAATGAAGTCTTTTGAGCGCCTTGTGTTGTCCCACCTTAAATCCATCACTGACCCACTACTGGACCCCCTGCAGTTCGCCTACAGAGCCACCAGGACTGTAGATGATGCAGTAAACATGGCCCTTCACTACATCCTCCAGCACCTGGACTCCCCAGGAACCTACGCCAGGATCCTGTTTTTGGACTTCAACTCTGCTTTCAACACCATCATCCCGGCCCTGCTGCAGGACAAGCTCTCCCAGCTGAATGTGCCTGACTCCACCGGCAGGTGGATAACAGACTTCAGACAGACAGGAAGCAGCACATGAAGATGGGAAAACATGTCTCTGACTCCAAGACCATCAGCACCGGTTCCCCTCAAGGCTGCGTTCTTTCCCCTCTGCTCTTCTTCTGCTCTTTGCGGATGGCACCACCCTCATTGGGCTCATCTCTGGTGGGGATGAGTCTGTCTACAGGTGGGAGATTGACCGTCTGGTGACCTGGTGCGGCCAGAACAGTCTGGAGCTCAACGCTCTGAAGACAGTGGAGATGGTCGTGGACTACAGGAAGAGCCCAGCCGCACCCTCCCTATTACTCCTCCGTCACCACTGTGGACTCCTTCCGCTTCCGGGCACCATCTTCTCCCAGGACCTCAAGTTGGAACTGAACATCTCCTCCCTCACCAAGAAGTTCAGCCTGCCAAAGGCAATGATTGTGCACTTCTACACCGCCATCATTGAGTCCATCCTCACCTCCTCCATCACCATCTGGTACGCTGCTCCGTATCATTCGCTCTGCAGAGAAGGTGATTGGCTGCAATCTTCCATCACTTCAGGACCTTCACGCCTCCAGGACTCTGAGGCGAGCAGGAAAGATTGCAGCTGACGCCTCCCATCCTGGTCACAAACTGTTTCAGACTCCGGCAAGAGGCTTCGGTCCATCAGTAACAAAGTTTTTCAATGCGCAAGTGATTATTTATTGTTCTTGTTTTAAACTCTCGGTAAAAAAAATGAATAAATGTTTGAGCGATTATTTTTTCGTTCTTGTGTTAAACTCTCAGTGACAAAAATGATTCAGTTGTATGTGCTAGAATAGGATGGGATCACAGCTAGCTGTTGGTTTGATGCAGTTGTATATTCACAGCATTATATCTCTGCATAGACCATAATGTCAGACTAACAGGTATCGTGGGATAAAATGGTGAATGTGGAGTGTTGATGTTTTATCTTTATCATTGTAATATAGGGTACACCGATTGTACACGTTACAGACAATTGTCTGTGTGTCGTCACAGGTGTGGGCCGTTTAAGATTGATATACAGTGAGTTTATTTATTTTAAGTTCAATCTTCAGGTCAACAAATGTGAACTATTATAATTATAATATAGGTTGTAACACATCTAGTGTGGTTTCTGAAAACAAATGGTGATTATTTAAATCTATCCTTTATCTAAAAAGTTGTCTGGGGACGTGTCCCCGGTGACACAGCCCCTTCGGTGACATGCCTCGACTAGTCTGCGGATCAAGTGTTGTTGTGAATTATTTTGGAGCATTATAGCCTAAATTGTTATCATTAATTACTAGAGCAATGGTGGTCTACATTGTCATCATGTAAAGTGTTATTTTATAGTGTAAAGTTAGGATCACAGTGTGAAAACTCTACAGCTCTGAGTGTATGTGCTCCTTTCTGCCCAGGCTCAGCAGTAGCACATGTGTGTGTGTGTGTGTGTGTGTGTGTGTGTGTGTGAGCAAGATCGTGTGCTTTGGGAGAAAAGGGAGGGGGCAGTGAGGCAGCATCAAAAACACCTTGCAAAGGAAAATATAGAAGCAGATTTTGTATTACAAAACATACATCAATATAGTCCATCACAGTAAGAATGTTTCTGTTTCTAGCACAGAGCACAAACACCACCAGTTTATTCCATAAAAGTCAGGTTATGGAAGAAATAGCATGATCAAGCAGAGTGCATGCAGAGGACACAGAGAGGAGGAGCAGGCAGTCAGGGAATTTCCCAGACTCAGGTGCAGCAGGAAAGAGAGCCTAGAGATGATGTGAAGCCAAGAAACAGAGCTATAAAAGGAGGTCCAAAAGGAGGTGAAAGTCAGTCGTTACATGGTTTTCATGTCGACTCGGGTCTCTGTTCTGGTAACAGAATGGGGCTCTATTTTGCACCGATCTCTGACACACTCCGGTGGAACTTTTGTATTCTAATTGGTGTCTGTTTTTGTTGATAATAAAAATGTTGGTAAAAGTTCAAGCTTTCTTATCTGGCCCAAGTCTGTCGAGCCGTGCCAGGAGAGTTGAACAGGGGCAGGATGACCTTGACCAAGGACGGACAACCTGTATCTCAGAGACACATACGCGTACTTAAAAAGGTAAGCAGAAAACCTTTTTTTTTTTCATTTCTGCATAATAGTGTGTCTGAGTACAGGATTCTCCGCCCAGGTGAAGTTTCTGAAAGCTTCCTCATTCTTGAACCTAGTTAAAGTACAAAAATTAACGAAAATTGTTAAAAATTTTACTGAATTCACTAAAAATGAACTCAATTTACTAAAAAAAACAAAGCACATACAGATTGAGAACCGCTGATGTGTCAGAGATGGGTGCAAATCTAAAGGCAAAAAAGCAGTGTGTCAAAGTGCTTGCAAAGCTGGTAGATTAGATGCGCTTTTTATGTTTAATTGTTGGCTTTTAAGTGTAAATAAGTATGTAAATAAGATTTGTAAATAAGATAAGAGTTTTCCAACCATTATTGTGAATACCGCTGTTTACTTACATCGCAGACTTATATCGCAGGATTTCAACTGAGTGTTGGGGCTCTTCGATGGTAGGTCCGGACTGAACGGGCGGATGTACTATAGCACGTTACCGCTAGGAGCCTAAAATAGGACGGTGGCAGGATAGGAGGATAAAACGTGCTCAAAAGATAAAAGAAGTTTACGCTCTCATGGATTGAGTAGCGATTTGTAAAGACAGAATTTGTGTTGAGCAAGTGTATCATTTCTGTCTAAGCCCTCATGTCGAGGAAGTGGATTGAGAGGCTATTTGTGTGTAAACAGGGTCTGTGTTGAGGAAGTGCATCAGACCAGCCAATTTGAAAATAAACCTAGGCAGTGTAAATTAAGTCTGTGTTGAGGAAGTGCATGAGACAAGTCCATTTGAAAACCTAGGTAGTGTAAATTAAGTCAGGGACCGGCAGGAGATAGGAGTCAGAGACGTACGTGCATGTAAATATTGCTGAAAATATATAGCTGTGTGTTAACAAAAAGTGCATATAAATGTCACCAAGGCCTAAAATAATAATACTAAGAGTTTGAGTCTTGAAGCCTTGTGTTTAAGACCATTAGATAAAAAGTATAAAATAATGACAGTTGAATAACTGATATTAAACTAACATAAAGCTTAAGGATAACAGATGAATAGAGTTGATATGGTGATATAAAAAGTATAAGAAGTTGATGGAAGGAGTTATAAAGTAATAGATATATGAATATATATTGATGAAATAGTTAATGTGGACTAGTATAGTGTAAAAGACGGCTTTGATGCAGAAAAGGGAAAAAAAGGAGTTTGCTCATGCTAGCAGAGAGGCACAGAGCAGGAGCTGAGGTGCAGCTGTGTCTGTGTGAGTGTGAGTGAGTGTGTCCATGTGGGGGAGGACAGCAGGCTGAGAGAGAGAAAAAGAGAGCAGTTCAGCCCTAAACCAAAACTTATGAGAGTTTTGTGATCTGTTGCACCTTTCTAGGATAACAACAGCACGTTATAGCAAGTTACTCATGAGTTAATAATAACAGAAGTTATAAAAGTTTTTTGAACCAATAACAGCTTGACAGTAAGCAGATTAGTAAAAGAACGGCAATGACTGCTGGATACGAAAAAGAAAAGTGTAGTTGAAACAGCCTACTAAAGTATTATGATAATAAAGGAAATTTAGTTCAGAATAACAGGCTGAAGACACTTTTTGGTCGAGGAGAAGGAACAAAACTAGAAAAATGATGACATCTGATAAAGTTTGCACATTTATTGAAACATAGAAGTACAGATTGATAGGCAGCAATGTGAGGTATTATCTATGAAGGATTTAAGTTGGGATTGAGAGCCATCAATTTTCTATTAGATGTGAGAAAATGAATTTGATATTTTAATAGTTGTTAGTTTCACTGAAGTTAGTCATTTTTAGTAAACTCTACTTTGATGGTTTTTCAGTTGAATAGCTCTTTGATATAGAAACAAGGGGAGCTGCCTGAGTTTCTTTCAATGAATTGTTTCATTCTAGTTTCTTGGTTGTGTGGCTTTACAATTAAATGTCTTTTTCTTTTTCGAGGCATGAAGGCCGTCCAAATTCCAAAGTTTCCAGAGAGTAAGTGTTTGCTCGCAGTGAGTGTGCGATGGCTGTCCTGGGAGGCACACAGCAGGTGAAATTAAATGGTAAAGAGCAGAAAAAAGACAAATTAACTGCAAAAGGTGGTCAAAGGAGGGAGCTGTGGCAGCAACATATGTGGTAACAGCACAACTAAGTAGTTAAAGATAAAATAAAAGATGTCAGATAAGAGATAGAGAAAAAAGATCTGCCTACAGACCAAGGCACCTGCAGAGCACAAGGAACCATGAGACATGACGACAGCGAGACAGAGCTGCACTGGACACGATGACAGCTCTGGAGTTTCATGATGGAAGAAGAAGGCGAGAGAGCAGCTTCAAAATGGACACAGCAGAATCTGACTGTGAGGAAGAGAGGGAGGGCCACAAACGAGCAGTGATACAGGAGGCGTTCCACACAGAGTGTGTCAACCTGATGCATCACAGGCCCAAGCCCACCTCCACTGACGTCAGCATCTTCCCAACGCTGAGGACGCAGCCAGTCAGACCACATCTACCATCTACAGTCGAATCATAAAGAGGACAACACCACCTTAAAGACTGCGAACCTAACAGCACAAAGTTTAAAAGGTCAAGAAGGCTTTACAGTGAAAATGAACTTCAGCCAAAATGCTCTCACATGTGACCGAGTGCTGACAGAAACTTCACCAAGGAAGCGCTTTCTGTCTCACCATGATCAACATTACAAATGGTCAGACTGTCAGAGGCCTTGAAAACTGCAACATCTGCTGAAAAAGATCTGTTTGAAGACTGACCTCAAAAGAGTTTGGGAGTAGGAGTGTTGATAATTTGTAGGAGAAGAAAAAATAGAAAGATAGGGGAAGAAAAAAGAAAATAGGGACTGATGTTAAATCCAAAGAATAAGGTTAGCTCAGGAGATATAAAATAGCAAGATATGTCATTAATAATTGATTCATTAACACAAATATACTGAGTTAATAACTTTGCTGTCCTGCTCTCCTCCAGCAGCCACCTGATACTAAATTTCAGCAAAAAGGGATCAGATCATCAAGCATTCCTTGTGTTTTTAAACAGAGTTTTTAGAAAAAAGGGATCTACTGGGATTATTTTTATATTATAACTGTAACAGCGCAGAACTCCTCGGCGTAGCAAATACAATGACAGGCAACCGAGGCCGAAAGGAGAAGCCTCATTGCCTTTATAAAGCAATTTCAGCAGCACATTGCTACTGCATGCTTAAATTTGATGATTGTGAGTCTTAAATCATGATCGACCTTTGTCATGTATTTCACAGGAACAACCAAGCAACTGTAATGATAACCTGAGACACATGTGTGATGCTGAACACCTGAGTTAATTTATGTTTTCTTTCTGTTTTTGGAGGTAGTATTAGTAAACTAGTTTGAAGTATGGAAGAATTGTAGTGCACTAATGAATAATGGGGTGTTATTTCAAGATTTCATTACGTTCAATAGCAATGTAAGTCAATACACAGATATACAGGAGGTTAGAAGGGTTAAATTGCAAGCAAATGGAATATCTAGGAAGCATCATGTTGAAAAAGATTGATATTTTCCTCAAAGATAGTAAAGTTTCCAAACTACAAACAGTAGTGTAGTAGTGCCCCGCTCCGTCCTCAGAGCCAGATCTCCTTGGCTCCCCTGCTCCGCCCTCGGGCGGCACAGCTCTGTCCTCGGGCTGCCCACCGGACCTCCCTGGCTCCCCTGCTCTGTCCTCGGGCTGCCCACCGGACCTCCCTGGCTCCCCTGCTCTGTCCTCGGGCTGCCCGCCGGACCTCCCTCTGCTTTGCCCCCGGGACGTCCGCTCAGACCCTCAGGTCCCTCTGCTCCGCCCTCGGGACCCCCTGGTCTCCCAGCTCTACCCTCTGGCACCCTGTCTAGCCCTATGTCTTCAGTTCAGCCCTGCCCGTTCCCCTAACCCTTCCCAGTCCTGAAGCCCTCCCTGAATTCCCTGTGTTTTGTTTTGGACCCTGGACCCCCACCAGCCGGACCCCAGTGCGACTTCCTCCCCCCGACATTCGTCTGCCAGTCCAGTGGGAAGGCCGCCGGGAGGCGTCCATTGAGGAGGGGGCCCTGTTGTGGTGGCAGCCCGGCTGACGGTGAGTGTCCTGGTTTTTATCTCCTTTTTATCAGTTATTCTGCTTTTTCCTTGGTTTTCTGTTCCCTGCCTGCCTCCCTGTGTTTTCTCCCCTGTGTGCTCTCCCTCTGCTCCTGAGCCCAGCCAACGACCCGCACCTGCACCTCATCAGCCACCTCGTCAGCCTGCCACACCTGCCAGTAATCAACCTCATCCCTGCCTGTTCTCCACACCATCCTAAAATCACCCTGGTATAACGTTAGTGCTGCATAATGCTACAGATCTGACCGTTCTACAAGCTTGGCTTTTATTTTAAATTCTTTACTCTTACTTCCAGGTCACCTGGCCCACCTGTCTTTCTTTTCTTAATGTTTATCATCAAACGGAGAAATAAAAATAGGAATTTCAAAAAACCAACAGTAGCCTAGCTGATTACATGCACTATAATATTGTGTATTTATTCATGTTAACAGCAAGAGTCATGTTTTTTTAAGCGCATTGTTTGGTGCAATACAGTTGGTAGGCTAATATAGGTTAACCTAAGAAATGTTAGAAAAGAGTTGTTACTGTCAGCGCTATATTTTCAATATTAAATTAATATTTAATGTGGTTTCCACCGTAATGAACCATGCTGTTTCCCCTTTCTAACAGCAGGTGGCAGGATTTAAATGAAGGTATGGTTTTTGTCTTTATTAAATGTTTTGAATCCAGATTACTGATACAGATGTGTTTATTGTTGTTCATTAGATTTGGTTTTGGATATTTATGTTGCAACCTAGTTATCACCCAGAGTTAAACCTGCATGCTCTTCTTCTAACCTGGTTCTAACACTGCTGTCAGCTTCTTAGCAGCTCTGACAACAAACTCACATCAGAAATGTCCTAATGTAGGCCATCTGGCCAAAAGAATCATTTACCAGTGCGCTTTATACTGTGTGAATCTTTCTTCTCTATACACACTCCAGTGTGTATAACATACAACACTCCCATTGTGTCATGCAAGTGAAGATAATCCATACAAGTCTTAAACATTTATTGAACATATATAGCACATACATACTTTCAATGGCATTGAACGTAAAATCTATGGCTGCAGAACATTGACTGTGAAGCCATAAGGTAAGTCCATTTTCACAGGTTCACAAAAGAAAGTCCAAAAACGTAATTACATTATTAAAAACAGGCTGTCAACAGGCTTGCACTGTCGTGGCTCCTAGGATCGTTGTGGAGATGGTAGTTTGAAGCTATGTTAAAGGACATGCCTGTGTTGGGGGCTGTGGGAGGGCTGGACACCATTTGGACCCCATTTGGGTTGGAGTTGAAGGAGGCTCTGTAGTGATGCACAGATCTTTGGTTGTGGAGGAGATGCATCAGGTGGTGCAGGCCTCTGGTGAGCTCAAATACTTCCTGGTTGAGTATTTCAATCTTGTTGAGTTGATTAATGATCTGTCTGACCTCCTCCGTCTCCAGCAGCAGAGTTACATTAGCCTGAGTGGACTCGTGGGTGCTGCCTCCTGTACTGGCTCTAGGCCCGTGTGCTCCACGTTGAAATGGACCAAGGGTCCATGGTCTTCAGTTCCCTCTACAACCCTGGGACTAAGATCTGGGGGTCCTAAGCAGGGGACAGTTGGGATAAGCAGCTTTAACGGCTTTTGCTCAGCCGCTCTCTCTCCCTGGTTGAGACTCGGGTGGCTGTAGGCGTGCTCTGCTCTTTTAGCGACAGTGGCTGAGGGGTTGAGCTCTGCCCGTGAAGGCCAACAAGGTTGCTGAAGCTGGTCAGCAGCAGATTGCAAAGGGAGCGTGTTGCTGGAAGGAGGTGGACGGAGTTGTCAGACTCATCCCCCTTTGTTTGCACAACAGAGGGGAGCCTGCGTTCGTGGGTAAGCCTGGGTGACCTTGAAAACCCGCTGAGGCCCTCGTCCTGGCTGTCCTCACGCAGATTGTAGGTGAGGTTGTCGTGGATGTCTGAGGCAAACAAACTGGTGTACTCGTGGTAGAGTACCAGCACATCTTTCAGGTCACGCACTCTAATATACTGAATGTGACAGTATGTCAATGGCTTCACATCAGCATTGGTCTTGATGACCTAGTCTGTTTCAGGACCAGCACCATCATATCTTTCAGCACCCAGAGCAGACAAAATAGAAGGCTTGCAGCACGTCATCCTTAAAGATGAGGTACTCCCAGGGACACAGAAGGAGGTTTTTATGAGGAGGGAGGCAACCCTGACTGGCCCCCATAAAAACCGGCAGCTGGAGCAGGGCTCGACAATAACGGTGGCCTGATGGCCCGGGGCCAGTAAAACGTAACGTCGGGACATTAAAAACATTAGTATTTTTTAAAAAAAGAAAAAAAAAATCTAATTCAACATGCAGTTGTTTTGCAGCTCTTTCAGCTCTCTGTCCAATCCAGAGTTGTAGTTACGTGACGAGAGGTTGTCAAATTTTATTTCTCTAATCTCAATCATGCGGTAACCTCTGGGTCAAAAGTGAATCCATGCAGACGGAACTTAAAGCTGCATTCTCTCTAACGGCCAGCAGGGGGCGACTTCCATTAGATAGAATGGTAAAATGTTGCTACTTCTCAGCTGATTCATTATCTCAGTAAACAGTTTTAAATGATTTTATAGTCTCAGTCACTAGTTTCAAGTCTTCTTCAACACAGCATGATGTTCATTTAGTATATTATGGTCCTATTTAATGCAAAATAGACGATAATGCAGCGTATGCTTTTGGACGGGACTACCTTGTTACTGACAGGTCGGTACCATGGCAACCTGTTCATCAGGATAGAGGCGACTCGTGTCCGCTGCTCTGTGTACATTTTTCATAAATGACTGTCAGCAGGAGAGCACGTCATGTTTGAGTCTGAGTATGTTTTGTTTTAAAAGTAAATTGTTTTGTTAACCTTTTTATTTATTTATTTTTATAACCAGGATGTATTTAAAAGACGATTTAACACTTTTGGAAGGAGGGACGGTAAAAATTGTCTCCAGGCTAGTAAGTTTCAAACCCACTGGCCCGGTGGGGCCAGTTGCAAAAACGTTTAATATACCGGCGAGTTTGCTCGACTGTATCATTTATATACAGTGGGTACGGAAAGTATTCAGACCCTTTTAAATTTTTCACTCTGTTTCATTGCAGCCATTTTCCAAAAATCAAAAAAGTTCATTTTATTTCTCAGTAATGTACACTCAGCACCCCATCTTGACAGAAACAAACAGAAATGTAGAAATTTTTGCAAATTTATTAAAAAAGAAAAACTGAAATATCAGATGGTCATAAGTATTCAGACCCTTTGCCGTGACACTGATATTTAACTCGGGTGCTGTCTATTTCTTCTGATCATCATTTGAGTCCAGCTGTGTTTGATTATACTGATTGGACTTGATTAGGAAAGCCACACACCTGTCTATATAAGACCTTACAGCTCACAGTGCATGTCAGAGCAAATGAGAATCATGAGGTCAAAGGAACTGCCTGAAGAGCTCAGAGACAGAATTGTGGCAAGGCACAGATCTGGCCAAGGTTATAAAAAAATTTCTGCTGCACTTAAGGTTCCTAAGAGCACAGTGGCCTCCATAATCCTCAAATGGAAGACGTTTGGGACGACCAGAACCCTTCCTAGAGCTGGCCGTCCGGCCAAACTGAGCTATCGGGGGAGAAGAGCCTTGGTGAGAGAGGTAAAGAAGAACCCAAAGGTCACTGTGGCTGAGCTCCAGAGATGCAGTCGGGAGATGGGAGAAAGTTGTAGTAAGTCAACCATCACTGCAGCAATCCACCAGTTGGGGCTTTATGGCAGAGTGGCCTGACGGAAGCCTCTCCTCAGTGCAAGACACATGAAAGCCCGCATGGAGTTTGCTAAAAAACACCTGAAGGACTCCAAGATGGTGATAAATAAGATCCTCTGGTCTGATGAGACCAAGATAGAACTTTTTGGCCTTAATTCTAAGCGGTATGTGTGGAGAAAACCAGGTACTGCTCATCACCTGTCCAATACAGTCTCAACAGTGAAGCATGGTGGTGGCAGCATCATGCTGTGGGGGTGTTTTTCAGCTGCAGGGACAGGACGACTGGTTGCAATCGAGGGAAAGATGAATGCGGCCAAGTACAGGGATATCCTGGACGAAAACCTTTTCCAGAGTGCTCTGGACCTCAGACTGGGCCGAAGGTTTACCTTCCAACAAGACAATGACCCTAAGCACACCGCTAAAATAACGAAGGAGTGGCTTCACAACAACTCCGTGGCTGTTCTTGAATGGCCCAGCCAGAGCCCTGACTTAAACCCAATTGAGCATCTCTGGAGAGACCTGAAAATGGCTGTCCACCAACGTTTACCATCCAACCTGACAGAACTGGAGAGGATCTGCAAGGAGGAATGGCAGAGGATACCCAAATCCAGATGTGAAAAACTTGTTGCATCTTTCCCAAAACGACTCATGGCTGTATTAGATCAAAAGGGTGCTTCTACTAAATACTGAGCAAAGGGTCTGAATACTTATGACCATGTGATATTTCAGTTTTTTCTTTTTTAATAAATTTGCAAAAATTTCTACATTTCTGTTTTTTTCTGTCAAGATGGGGTGCTGAGTGTACATTACTGAGAAATAAAATGAACTTTTTTGATTTTTGGAAAATGGCTGCAATGAAACAAAGAGTGAAAAATTTAAAGGGGTCTGAATACTTTCCGTACCCACTGTATATATAACTTTACGCAATAGAAAAGCGATTCAACCGCTGTTGGGGCAAAGGAGTGTAAATTAGCACTCGCTGTGGTGGTGTAAATAGTCAATACTGCCGACGTTGTCTTTGCTGTAATCAAATCAGTATATATTTATGTTTATCATGAAGTGTACTACTGCTTGAGTGCAGTAAATCTATGGGAAACATCCATATGTAAAGTTACAGACAAGGCTAGCAGCAGCAGCGCCGCGTCAGACACGTTTCTGGTGTGCAAAGACAAAACACCACGAAGCTGACACATGCCGGTTTTCTCTGTAAAACAGGCGTCGTTTCGGTTCTATTACCTTATAGTATTTAACAGTGACATTGTTGAACTGATTCGTTGAGCTAAACGTTTTCTTGTTTTCTATTTTTACAGATCCTGTGGTTAGGATGCTGTGGAAGTGTAAGTACTGTGAGTTTGTGTGAGAAAAGGGGTTACCTTTTAAAACATTATCGTTTAAAACACGGAAACTTTCCCATTTCTGTCCCATTTCCCTGCTTACGCCAACAATGTGTGTGCACATTCAACTCCATTAATGCACTTAAGGTCCACTTAGCAAAGATTCACCAGAAAACCCAGGGTGCACAACTGAGTGAAACTGCCCAAGTAACCTTTCACTGTCAGTCATGTGATTTTTCTGCACCATGCACAGAAGCAGTCTTTCTCACTCACCTGCGCAGTACACATTTAAAGGTAAATCACAGAGTCCAGTGCCCATATAATGGCTGTAACTTTCACACAAATGTGTATTCTACATTTAATGCACACAGAAGTAAGGAGCACAGAACACACAACTGGAGGATGTTTAGGCCAGAAATAGTCTCTAGTAGTGTAACTAATGAAATGGCCCAAGAAGAACATGAGCCTCCAAATGACACCCTTGAATCAGAAGACAGTGAGGATTCTACCAATGAAGATCTTAATGATCTAGAGAAACAGCTGGAGCACAACCTAGCAGCTCTTTTTTTAAAGATGCAAACAGTCCTACACATTCCAGAAAGTACGGTACAAGAAGTCATACAACAGCTGTTACAGATGTGTGAACTATCCCAGCCACTGCTGCATAATGCACTCAAGGACATTCTGAAACAACAGACAGATGTAGATGATTCAGTTGTGGAAGAGTTAGTAAGGGCTGCCGCAAAGGGCAATGTGATCATGAAATTCTGTGGCAAGGATGGCCCCTTATCAACAACAAAAAGGAGAGCAGCATATGTGAATAAAAACTTCACAGAGGTTAAACCAGTGGAGTACATTATTGAAAGAGGAAAAAAATCTAGTGCTGTATATGTTCCTTTGCATCCAATGCTACAGAAGATGTTGAATAGGGCAGATATTTTGGACAAAGCTCTTCCCGTCCAAAAGCATGTGCAACATGAGTACAGTTCATACAGAGATGGCTCGTACTGTAATGACAATGTCCTCCTTAAAGGGGAGGAATTCAAAATCGCTGTTGGACTTTATACTTTTGAAGTGTCCAATCCTTTAGGAACATCAAGAAAGAAACACAAAATGAGTGCAGTTTATTGGGTGATAGCTAATGTGCCATCAAAATACAGATCCACACTCCACTCCATTCAGCTTGCTGTTTTGTGTAAATCCTCTCATGTAAAAGAATTTGGCTACGCTAAAATTCTCCGCCCTCTCATTCATGATCTGGCTTCTTTGGAGCAACATGGTGTATATGTTGAGAAGTTGGGAGAATCTGTCAAAGGTACAGTTTTATATGTGGCTGCTGATAACCTGGCTGCTCATTCTCTGGCAGGATTCTTCGAAAGCTTTATGGTGGACAGATTCTGCAGGTTCTGTAGGGCGACGAGAGGCGAGATGCAAGGCAAGGAGGTAAATTCAGGTGCTTTTGAACACCGCACTATAGACACTCACAACCAGCAGGAGCAGGAGGTAAAGCATGATCCCACTGTGGCAAAACAGTATGGTGTGAAAGGAGAGTGTGTATTGACTGACGGCCTGGAGCACTTTCATGTTGTCCGTGGGTACCCCGCTGACATCCTCCATGACCTTTTGGAAGGCATTGTTCCTGTTGAGTTATCCCTCTGCATTTCAGACATGATTTCTAAGAAATATTTCACCATAGAAACATTGAACCATGCCATGAAAACCTTTGAATATGCTTTTCATGACAAAACTGACCAGCCTCAGCCAATTGCCCATGGCTTCTCTACCAAAGGGACCATAGGTGGCAATGGCCATGAGAACTGGGCCCTAATCAGACTGCTCCCACTTATCATTGGTCATAAAGTCCCTGAAGGAGACAATGCATGGAACATTCTGCTGCTCCTAAAAGACATTGTTGAGTTGGCTGTCGCAACAAAGCACACTGAAGAGTCGGTGCATTTCCTTGACTGCAAAGTGTCAGAACATAGAGACTTGTTGCAAACAACTTTCCCAAATTTTAGATTACGGCCAAAACACCACTATATTGAGCATTACCCTGAGATGATCAAAGCTTTTGGTCCCCTTTCAAATGTTTGGACAATGCGGTTTGAGGGAAAACACAAATTCTTCAAACGGGTCATTCGTAATGCCCACAACTTCAAAAATGTAGCTCTTACATTGGTTGTTAAGCATCAGAAAATGATGGCGTACTATTTGGACACAAGTTCATTTTTCAAACCTTCAATTGAAATGGACAAGGTCACTACAGCATCGATCACATCTTATCCTGAGAATGTCCAACAGGTTTTCTGCCAGAGAGTTCCTCAGCTTACAGTTCTTGTTGCATCATCAGTCTATGTAGATGGAATTAGATATTGTGCTGACATGATAGTCTCTGTTGGTTCATGTGCTGGCCTCCCTTCATTTAGACAGATCAAACAGATAGTGGCACTGAGATCCTGTTTGTTTGCAATGAGATGACTGCATGGTACCATGAGCATTTGAGATCTTTCGAACTCATCTGTGACAGCAGTAACCCCTCTCTGTGTGTGGTGCAGCTGAAAGAGCTGAATGATGTTTTCCCTCTTTCAGCGTACAGATATGGCGATAATTTGGTAGTGACCCTCAGGCGTTATATTCTCTGTTAAGAAGCCACAGTGTGATCTCTGCAATAAATCTAGGCTGTAATGGAACATTTTGTAGCTTATTTTAGAGCTCATGTTGAAATGTATAATGATAGAGTCTCTGAGAAGTTTTTATTTTTCCCTAAATTTGTGACTTTTTTTGTAAATGTTTTTCTTATACATTTAAGTGGGGATTTCTTGTGAATTAGAAGTTTTTTAATGGATTTACCACTTTAATCTAAAAGGACAGTCACTATTTTCTATGCTCAGCAATTGAATGGCCTTTTGGATATTTATATTTCTAATGACCTAATTATTGTTTCTATTCCCAAGATGACTGCAAACCAGAAGATGACCTTGAGGGTCATTCTAACAGAGGCGGATATAGTCATCCTAACCACAAGGCCCTCTACAGTCGAAGATTTGATAAGCAAGCTTAAAGAATCACTGGGACTTCATTATAACTTCAGTCTCCAATACCAAGACCCTGAATTCAATAATGAACTATGCAATCTGACAGATACTGAAGAACTTCCAGAAAAACCAACAGTTAAAGTCATGCCTGTCTCATCTGATGAAGTCTTCAGTGACACACCCAGTACAGCAGATACAGACATACTCTCACACTCATCTCAGGAGTGACAGAAACAGTGGCCAGAATTTTTTGATATCCCTACCATGTCTGTGGATGTAGAGTATAGACTTAGGCAAGCAGATCTGCTGTTTGAGTGAGGGTACATACCTTAAAGTATCAAAAGAACTAAAACACGAGATACTTGAAAGATTGGCAGAGAGCATGTATAGCTACACAGCATACCCAACTGCTGCTCAGTTCGAAAGTGTTGCAGCAGCACTGACAAACAAGCACCCTTGTCTCCAGGAGCGAGGCTCAACCACTCGCTGTTGTGGTTGGAAAAATAGCCTTAAGCATAAAATGGGTAATTATCGAACAAAGCGTAGGCAATCAGGATGCCTTGATGTTTCAGTAAATGCAGGTAAGCGGGGAAGGCATTCAGCAGGACAACCAGCTAACAAGCGCATCAAGAAGGCAAACAAAGGTGAAATCAACTACTTGCCCAGGATGGATTTGATCAGGCAGCACTGGAGGGGGCCTGTAAAGACTTGGTTGATGAAATGCAGAAGAGAACACCAAATGGACCTCTTGTGAAACAGAAGATGGATCAGACCTTTTCTCTGAGAAGAAAAGAGGTAGTGGAGTCGGAACCCGCTATAAACACAATGGTGAAACGCTGGCCTGCCCTTTTCACTGAAGATCAAGTATGTTTAAGAAAGAACATGACAAATAACTATCTTTCTATTATATATATTGTGTCTAGATGTATATTTCTCTTGTCCTCTTTAAGGAAAACATTGGTATTTTTAATTTAGGGCATGATGTTTTTCATCAACATTGCAAATCATATAAAAAGGACATTCATGATGTTTTTCAGCACTACTTTGCAGATGGCTTAGCTGCCTTGTATAGTTCAGTTGATCTAAGTTCAGTTTATCTGTATTTTTCAGGTGTTCATGGAGTTCAGCAGGATTTTGGGCAAGAACCTCAAACAGGAGTTCTATGAGAGCATCGACCGGCACAGTCCTCGTCTCCTCGAGTTATTTCAATCCAAGAGAGGGAATGTTGGACAGTTGTTGACACAGATTTCACAACAGACCAATGTAAGTATATACACATTCTGTACTTGGTGTTGTTTATCTCAGGTTTTGTATAAACATATCACAATGCTACTCTATTAGTTGTATAATTCAATCAAAACATTGCTTGTTTTTTTTAAGCTTTCTTATAGATCATTATTATCCGGACACAAGTGCTCAGAGGGCTTCCTATTATCCTTGGGGACAACCCCACAAACTTCTTCAAAGCAGGCTTTGTAAGTAAGCTCTTGCTTTCTTATAATTTTTACCATTATTTATTTTTCACCATGACACTCTTATATTGATTAAAGTTGTTTTTCAAATGAGAAATATAATGTAATGATTGTGCTCTTCTGTTATTCTTTATTTAGGAATCTGATGATGATTATTTTCGTGATCTTGACGTTGGGAAGCTTCTTATTGAGCGTGAAGGTGCTGTGCTCACGTCTTCCCAGCATCTCAGTCCAGCTTTGTTGAAAATCGTCATTGAGGGAGAAGTTGTAATGGAGAACATTCAAGATCTGCCAAAAGCAATGTGCATTCTGTTTGGACTCATGTATGCACTCCATCTTAACTACCCCAAGACCATGAAGCTCACATTTCAGTTCATCCAACAGGTATTGCTATTGTTAGGCCAGACTGACCTAAAGCCAAAGCTACAGAGTTTGAAAAATCAGCTCGCAATGTAAAAAGAGAGGTCAAGTCTACTGTAAGAGGCAGTTGACTACATTTTTCTTTTTGCCACACTAGTAAAATACTTTCTTACCTGTGGGGTAAACCTTTTATTTTCTGTAAAACAAGCGGACGAACAGACACACGTAAAACGCAGACACACACGTACAACACCCACACACAAACACTGACACACACTTAAATGCTGTAGGAATCATGCTGAAGGATGTGACTTGTGTGAAAATTAAAACTGAGAGGACTTGTAGCAGAAAGACATAGGCCTAAGACATTATTGTTCTAGTTCAACACACACGGACAACACCCAGACACACGGCAACACCCACACACACTGCAACACGGGCAACACCCACACACACTGCAACACAGACACGGGCAACACACACGGACAACACCCACACACACACAAACACCCACACACAATTGTTTCAATGATTTGAAATGACTTTTAAGATTAATCATTTTAGATTGGATAATTGATGTTTTGATTGTTGATGTTTGGCTGTGTTTTGCCATTTAAAAATAAAATAAGATGCATGGAAGCATTAAGAGGTGTTTCTTTTTTTCCCATCCAATTTAATTGAAAATGTTTTAACTTATTTTTGTTTTAAAAATCAAAAGCTAATTAATTTAGAGGAAAATACAGTAATTGTGTTAAATGATGAGTAGCAATAACAAGTCATAATAGCTAGTTTTATCTAATGATTTTGAGAACATACTACTAATAAATATAAATACTAAACTTAAGGTTCCATGTTAATACAACGCAACATGTTTAGTTTCATCCTGTGTAAAAACTAAAGTGGTATAAGGCAACAGGTTTCCACGCGATTTGCGGGTAAAGTCAACTAATTCTGGTTAAGAGTGTATGCTTTACGTTAGCATTACAAATTATTAGCATGTTTTACGTGACTGCTTTTAACTGGTATATTAAATTAGCTTCAACTTTAGCCTGTAAAAATGACTTTTCCACACTGTAAGATTGTAAGTTAGACATATTTGGCATCTTTGGAAACCGTGGGCTCTTGACTAGAATGTAAAATAAAGTTCACGAGGAACATGCTTAATCGCGCTGCTCCTCTTCTAGCACACCTGTCACAATCACATTCATGCAAAAGAGGAACCCTGCCAATTTATTAGAAATACCTTAGCTTGTTTACTTATGTGGTAATATCAGGGCTGTGGTTTCTCAGTTGTGTATTTGTAAGTGAGCAGTGAGGTAGGCTAATATAAACGAGTTTGTTTTTTCGTTTGAAGCACAAATGAACCAACGGGAAAAACAACATTTTTCGTTTGTCATTTCAAACCAACAACGAAGAAATGGAAAAAAAAGAGCCGTCGTTGTTGTTGGTTTGAAATGACAATGAAAAAAAGTTGGTTTTCCCTGTATGGAAGGATTCTCTTCACTTGCATGACACAATGGGAGTGTTGTATGTTACCAGTGTTACGGCCGCCACTGGCTGCAGTTTGACTGAATGTGGGACCCTTGAATGTAGTGGTATCTAAGAAGTCAACAGTGGTAGGACTTCTACAGTATTTCAGCTTGATAGCAGGGTTATGGTGATTCAAAATGTTCACAAATTGGTCAAAATCGTCTCTCGAAAAGGGCCAGACCCCCCATATATCATCCAGAAACCTGTAATGGTGGAGTGGTTTTTTGGGACAGGAATTTAGTGCAGTCGTTTCCCACAAATTATTAGCATATGCGGGCGCAAATTAGCTCTGACAACAAATTCACCTCAGAAATGTCCTAATGTCACCGTCTGGCCAAAAGAATGATTTACCAGTGTGCTTTATACTGTGTGAATCTTTCTTCTCCGTACACATTCCAGTGTGTATAACATGACACTCCCATTGTGTCATGCAAGTGAAGAGAATCCATACAAGTATTTCCATACAACATTTATACAACATATATAGCACATACATGATTAGAACAGAAGGGCATGCAGATTTAACTCTGGGCTGAGTGTGAATGTAGTTACTAAGGTATTTCTCTCAGTCCAGGTTTATTTATTTATTTTCACCTAACATCTCCCTGGTATAACGTTAGCGCTGCATAATGTTACAGATCTGACCGTTTTACAAGCTTGGCTTTTATTTTAACATGTTTACCATTACTTCGGGGTAACCTGGCCCGCCTGTCTCTCTTTTCTCAACGTCTATCTTAAAACGGAGAAATAAAAATAGGAATTTCAAAAACCAAAATCGGACCGTTATTTGAATTTGGTGTAGTCGTTTTTTCGTTTTTGGATTCAGAAAACAAACTATCAAAACGTACACGGACCCACCTGGGTTCATCACCAAAGGTGATGGTCATATAATTAGAATATCATCAAAAAATTGATTTATTTATTTCAGTAATTCCATTCAAAAAGTGAAACTTGGATGTTTATATTCATTCATTCCACACAGACTGATATATTTCAAATGTATATTTCATTTAATTGTGATGAGTAAAACTGATAACTAATGAAAATCCCAAATTCAGTATCTCTGAAAATTAGAATATTACATCAGACCAATAAAAGGATTTTTAGAAATGTTGGCCGACTGAAAAATATGAACATGAAAAGTATGAGCATGTACAGCACTCAATACTTAGCTGGGGCTCCTTTTGCCTGAATTACTGCAGCAATGCGGCATGGAGTCCATCAGTCTGTGGCACTGCTCAGGTGTTATGAGAGCCCAGGTTGCTCTGATAGTGGCCTTCAGCTCTTCTGCATTGTTGGGTCTGGCGTATCTCATCTTCCTCTTCACAATACCCCATAGATTTTCTATAGGGTTAAGGTCAGGCAAGTTTGATGGCCAATTAAGAACAGGGATACCATGGTCCTTAAACCAGGTACTGGTAGCTTTGGCACTGTGTGCAGGTGCCAAGTCCTGTTGGAAAATGAAATCTGCATCTCCATAAAGTTGGTCAGCAGCAGGAAGCATGAAGTGCTCTAAAACTTCCTGGTAGACGGCTGCGTTGACCTTGGACCTCAGAAAACACAGTGGACCAACACCAGCAGATGACATGGCACCCCAAACCATCACTGACTGTGACAGACTGAGAGGCCATTTAAAGGCCTTTGCAGGTGTTTTGAGTTAATTGGCTGATCAGAGTGTGGCACCTGGTGACTTCAATATTGAACCTTTTCACAATATTCAAATTTTCTGAGATACTGATTTTGGGGTTTTCATTAGTTGTCAGTTATAATCATCAAAATGAAAAGGAATGAACACTTGAAATATATCAGTCTGTGTGGAATGAATGTATACATTATACAAGTTTCACTTTTTTTTTTATACTTTACCATCTATAAACACAAGAAAGAAAATCGGATAACGCGATTATTTTTTGTTTTACATTTTTTAATATCAAAACGAAAAACGGGTTTCGGGTTTTTTGTTTCCCTATTTACTAATGGTAATTGGTAAACAAGCTGTATGATCCTGCTTTATTTCCCTTTTGCTACGGGTGTGTGTGTGTTTGTTTGTGTGTGTGTTTGACACAGAGAAAGAGAGAGAGTGTGAGAACAAACATGTAGTGAAATGCACACCACCTCTAGAGTATGTCCCGCGTTTCTATGTCTTAAATTTGACTGGCATCTTTTATGCCCGTTTATCACGAATAGTAAATAAATCCCAATAGCCTCAGCCCAACACTGATAAATTCCACAAAAACACAAACTGCAGTGTCTTATTTCATGATACACATATAGACATCGGCTGGTATGATTTTGGAACGTGGAAATCATTTTCTAGACTGGACCTACATATGGAAGAAGGATGAAGGGGTATCTCGCAAAGGAAAGGAGTACATGCTGCAGAGACGCGAATTGGATCAGCGCTCAGAACTATGCATCAGGCTTACCATGAAGCAAGACGTCAGGTATCTTACGTCTCATCTCTAATATTTTATATAATCAAAAATGTGGAATTTATGTGCAACTATGAGCTAATGTGTGTATGGTTTTTAATTGTTTGTTTAGCTGCAGCTTGTACAAGATTAAAAACTTAAAGATATTTCTAGTAAGCCTATAATCAGAACAAACTGCCCTCATTTTCATTTTATTTTTTTTGACAGACACACAAATAGACATTAGGTTAACGTTATATTTGGAAAATCTGCAACTGATGCAGTGTATATGGGAGAAATGGGATTTTTTGTGTGTTACATTGTTTTCCTATCTCTCTTAGGGTGCCCGAAATCTCCACCCCATACCATATCAAGCTTGGGTCACAAGGTTCATATGGACCAAAATGAAAAACTGGCTATGTTTGGGGTCACCCATGTTTTAGCCATTGATGGCTTCAGCAAAAAGGTTGTTGCTCATTTTACAATGCCTATAAAAAAACAACCTTGTCATCTATGAAGATGTTTTCAGTTCATAGCCAATGTATTATTGTGGACACTATCAGAATCAGCTTTATTGCCAGGTATGTGTACACATACGAGGAAAGGAATAAAAGGACTGCATACTTGAGTTTGAAAAGTTTTGCACACACAAAAAAAGACTTTTTCAGCCTGCAGCCTGCAGTACTTGCCTATGGTATGTGGGACCAGGTGCGAGTAGATCATGGCAAGGAGTTTTATTTGACGCATAATCAGGAGCGAAGGGATTATTTACAGACTTTATCCACAAGGTTACAGTTCAATAGTTTGTTTGGTTGCTTCAGCATAACACGTGTATGCCTGCTTTTATTATTATTACTATTATTATATTTGCTTCAGCAGCATACTGTTTTCTTGCATGAGACAAATTGTCATTACTATGTTTTTCGAATTTTTAGGGTAATTAAACATAAAATTAACCATGGCCGAGAACAGTTTAAAAAAAAAATCTGGTTACCGCTTAACAGTAAACAACTGCAGAAACAGCTGGACTTAATTCAACTTTTATATTCTAGTTATGTGATGAGCATTGTGATCTTTATGTTACAGTGTATTTGGGAAAATGGTCCTTAAGCAGAAAACCTCCTGGTAAAACTATAAATTTACTCCAAAATTGCATTCCCCTGCGCATCAGTCAATACCATGGGGTCATGACTTCCAATGGCATCTTGCACTTTTCCGATGATCCCCTGAAGGGTAGCCTCACATTCCAAAAAACGGACCATCACCAACCACGATCGATCTGGAACAATATCGTTGTTATCGTTATGACAATCACACAGCATTCAGAATCCTAGTCAAAGTTAATAGTCTTGTGTGTTTTGAACAATAGCTATAAAATGCGTTCAGCTTATTCTTATAGTATCTTTGGGTTGGCTCAGGACCAAACAATATACAAAGTTCCATGTAAATATTTTCATAATGTTTTGCATAAGCTTGCTAGCAAACAGACACTG